AAGAAGATCTTAATGCAGTAGTTAACTGGGCTACTAACATGGGCCTTGAGTTTAATGTCGTCAAATGTCACTCGATGTCATTCTATAGGACACGCACTCCTATCACATTCACCTACTTTATGAACGATTTTCCTCTGATACATTCAGATAATACTGTCACAGATTTAGGAATTGTATTTGATCGTGAGTTAAATTTTCATTCGCACATAGAAAATTCCTGCTGTAAAGCTCTAAAAATTCTTGGGTTTCTTAGACGTATATGTAGTGAATTCAAGTTAATGACTCCTTTAAAATTATTGTACTGTGCATATGTTAGGTCAGTGTTAGAGTATGGCGCTGTCATATGGGATCCACACACGGTGAGTAATAAAAGTGCACTTGAAAGAGTTCAGAGGAAATTTTTAAACTACGCTGGTTTTATCCTAAAAATTAATCATCCTCCTCATGAGTATGGTCCTGTATTGACTAAGCTTGGCCTGAGTTCTTTAGCTGACAGGAGAACATTGGCCAATTTGAGATTTTTATCAAAATTATTAGATGGCTTAATTGATGCTCCAGAGATTCTTTCACTGATCAACTTTAAAATTCCCTCATTTAATGCCCGCCAAACATACCCTTTTTTTGTGCCTAGGTGTACCACTAACTATGCAAGTAATCAACCAATTATTAGAATGATGGATATTGCTAATAAGGACCCATCACACTTATCGTATTTTTTATAACTTTCTGTGAATTATGTATCTATTAAAAAAAATTATGTTATTGATTTATTACGCAAACTTGCCTACTATGTATTATTAAACATGTTCTATTATTATGTACTACTATCATATTTGTATGTTTAATCAAACTGGGCTCCAGCCCGTTCTGTACAAAATAAATAAATAAAAATAAATAAATATATTGTAGAGAATGGGGGATAAAATGCCGCCCTGTGGAACCCCAGCACTTATACTGCCAATACTTGACGTGTCAGACCCGTATCGTATTTGGAAGGTGCGTTCAGTTAGATATGATTTGATTAGAAGATAGAAGGGTGAAGGAAGAAATGTTTTTATTTTATGCAGGAGACCATCGTGCCAGACTCTATCAAAAGCTTGTGATATGTCAAAGAAAGCTGCTGTACAAAATAATTTTTTTTCCAGAGAGAAAGATATTGCATCTACTACCCTATGCAGTTGATGGGTCGTCGAATGCGAAGAACGAAAACCAAACTGGTAGTCCGGTAGAACTTTCTTGTCAAAAATTATTGGTAGGATACGTTTAAGTATAAGTTTTTCTAAAATTTTCGCAAGGAAGGGAAGAAGACTTATTGGTTTTTAGGAAGAAGTTGTATCAGCTGGCTTATTTGGCTTATGGATCATGATAATTGTCGAGAACTTCCATAGTAGAGGAAAATAAGATAATCTGATTATTGAGTTGAAAATATGAGTAATATGAACAATGCCTCTTTTGGGGAGACATTTAACTACTTCGGCCGTGATTAGATCGTAGCCTGGAGATTTTTTTTGTGGGTATTTTAGGATTTGATATTTTAAATCGTTAGGAGAGAAGGGTTTAATTGGGAGAGAAAATTGAGGAGGGACATTGAGAGACCTATTGACCAGTGTTATTGTATCAGGACCAAATATATCTGGACGAGGCAGGAATATCTCAGAAAGATATATTTTAAATAATTCAGCTTTTTTAGTTCTATATGAATCAGGGTTTGGAGTTTGGATTTTTAATTTGTCGGCAGATGCTTTACAGATAAAGTTATCTACTCCGATAATTTCGATAAGCTTTTTGCAAAGTTCAGGAAAATCCGCGACGCTTTTCACAAAAACTGGAGGCGGTGGTTTGTTTGGTGCGATTTCATCAATGACAATTTGTTCGGTAATTGGGGCGGTTGGGTTTGAGGGCGGAGTTACATCGTGATTTTCATTTTGACTCAGAACTAGATAACGATTTGGAGTTAAAAAAATTTTTTTTTTACCTTTTTGATCTGTCTGCTTGTTCGTTGATGGGGATGGCGGATCGGAGGCAGAAGAGCTGGAGTGGTTTCTTTTGTTGTTGGTGGAGTTTTTGACAGACCAACCTTGATCAGGTGTGACATCGTTTTTATTTCTCGCAATTGTAATCGGAGAGATTGTGTTGTTTTTGTTGTTTTTGTTATTTTGATTATTATTGGAATTCATGGTAAATTATTGATATTAATATTAGAAATTAAATTAAGGACGAGTGAGAGTATTATACTCATAGGCTGGCGATAGCGTTTGCAGGTAATTAGGCTTATCTCGACGGCCGCGGCGGCCGCAGATAGGAAAAACGTATGCAGTAACGTGCAAGTTTGACCGAAACAACCGAAATGTAAATTTCGTTTGTTGAGTATTCACTTACATTTAGTTAACTTGAACGAAATAAACAGATTTTAATTTATTTATTTTTTTCGTAAAGAAAAAGAGTTGGAAGTTACGTACGTTTTCACATAACTATACTGGTGTGGTGATAGAAAAACAATATAGTTATAATTAAAATTAATTAACGAGCTAATTAATTTACGAGAGCGCAAGGAACGCGTGCGAAGCGGATGACTGCTATCGCGAGAATTCAATGTATATAATGTATATAATGGCCTCGAAATCTGCCGTGAAAACAATATTCCCCCGTACCTGAACGTGCTATCGATTAGATATAAGGATACGATAGATTCTAAGAAACCACGGATCATACATAAATCTAATATATAGTTATACCAGGTACTTCTCCCATCCCGTACACGTTGGCAGAGAGGCAGCAGCTCAACAGTCACTCGTATATCCGAAGAGCATAGGAGGCGTCACCACTGAAAGTGTGAGCCATCGCCGTCCGAGTTGAACGTGCCACCATCAGTTCAGTGTCCGTCCACAGTACGCGAGTGCCTTACCCAACGTTGCTGCTCAGACCTCCACGTCCATCAATCGTGTGCGATACAAAACCATCCTCCCTTCTTCACCCGTGTGTTAGTAAATACTAGGAGTCATTCGACGCGACCATAGACTACGTTGCTACAAACAGCGAGCATACTTTGGTCAGCACGTTGGCCTTCTTGTGTAAATCTCCTAGTACGAACACTGATATCTCGGCATAGTGAGTAATACCCCGTAATATATATATATATATATGTCGTGTGAAGATTTGTAAGCTCGACAACGAGTATTATATATGTATTAATTGTACACCTGATTGTAATATTATTATATAACAATAATAATTGTTGTATTCATTATTATTATTATTATTATAAATAAAAGTTAACAAAATAAAAAAAAGCCATACGGACTTTACGTTTTGTTACAGATTGCTTCATTATTTGTAAGTTGGACAAAAAAAACAATTAAACATAATATTATTTACACTTATCTCATAAGCATATTACATATGTGATCAGTCTTAACAGAAACAACTCCAACGGGTCTACTCAGTACAGGTTGTGTAAAAAAATTATTTACAGTTAAAAATTTAACAACAGATAGTTTAATTGTACTATCATTTTTAGAGTTTAATTTATATACATTTTCTAGAATAATAAACTGATCTTTAATATTATCAGAGCAGAGGATATAGTTATTTGATTTAAGTGTTATTTCATTGTAATAAGTAAATCTAAAATTTGAGAGATTTTTATTTATTTTAAAAGAATCTAAAATAAACAAATCATTGTTTAAAGAAGTTTTTAACTCTTCACCTTCAGATGCTAATACTTTATTTTGAATTTCAGCAAGTAGAAATCTATAACATTTCATTGATATTTTAAGTTTTTTAAGATAATTTTCATACTTGAAAGCGCTAAAATTATCTAACAGCCTATGTAAATTAACAAAAAAAGGCAAATGAATTAAACTGTGGACGTTATAGCTGACAAAATTTGAACCATAAATGCATGAATAATTTTGAACAAATTCTATTAGAAGTTTTGAAACTAAATCACTATGTGTATTAAACATTTTATCTGAACACAGTATTCAAATAGATATAAACAAAATAAGGAAGTGATTATATTATTCATTTTTTATGTTTGATTTTAAGACAATAATACCAGTGTAAAGTAAAAATTCACAGAATTCTGTAGCTTTCCAGTATTCCAAATCATCAAGACTTCTTGGTAAACGAGCAAACTCAGATGGTACCGTTTTCCTTAAATTAAATAAAGCTAAAGAAATTGAGTCTTTTTTCCCCCAACATTCTTATTGGTTTTTTTCCTTTAACCCAAAAATCTAACAGTCTTTTCATTACACCCTGGCACACACAGTGCATGTAATCCAACACTACACACTTTGTTATATCAATAGGTAGATTTGTTAATGAGTTAAATCCATCTTTATGGTATTCAGCATTTGATTTTAATCTAAATGAATTATCTGTTCTTAACGGAGCAAATACATCTAAAAAGCAAACTCTATCCAAATAATCTCCTTCGACTTCACAAGAAGTACAAGCAAAATAACCGTTATGGTTTTTAACATTTAATAAAAGCGTTTTAGCTGGTGCATCAGCAACAGTGTGAGATACTTCAAAATTAATCTTTTTATTGTTTATCTGAATACCATAAGTTAAAATGTGATTTAGTTCATTTATAAATGATTCTAAATATTCATTTATATTACCAGGTTTACTGTTAAAACTGTGAAAAATTCCAACTGGAAAAATTTTCTTTTTAAAAATTGGTAAATTTATAAATGACATAAGAATTGGCTAAAACTATATTTTAGAATTTTTCGCTAAAGGAAGACACTCAATACTAAAACTTAATTTTATAGATATATTATTTGTTATATTATGTATTTGTTTTAAAAGATAAGATTGTATAATATTACAAATACCTAGATTAAAGTATGAACCATTTTGAATTTCTGAAATAGATCTAACAGCTTTATATTCACATAGAATTGTACGGATATCCTTGGGAACTTTATGACCTGTGTTCCTAAGAATATTTAACATCTCATTGGCACGACCATGTGATACATTGAACTGCACAGCTCACTTTCGAATTTGATGAACTAAATCTTGTTGTATATCCTGGTTATCATTAGTTACATACAGTATGTCATCAATGGGTTGGGGCTCTGCAGAATATTCATAAAAAAAATATTTAGGTACCTATAAGTTATAATTTAATATTTTTAATATATAACAATTTAAGTAATATTTACAATACAAGTATGAAATTAATTTGTAAAGTTGTGATGTTGTTTATTAGGGGGTTTTAATAGTGCAAATGAATTGAACTAAAACAATAAAGTAAAAAGTTGAAAAACCCGATTTTTTTTTAATTATATAATATTATATAGGTATAAACATACCTGGGATGATGATTGAGTTTCAAAATTTGTAGCAGTTGTTAAACTATTGTTGTGTAATTGAATTTTATTTCTTATACGCCTTTGAAATTGGTGTTTAGAAATAGTTCCAATATCTTTGACTCGTTTATGGATTTTTGGCAGCACTAAAAATTATAGTAAAAATAACAGACTGATCAGTGATATAAGTTATTATTAAGTAAATTTAACTGTTTCAGCTAAACCCAACTTTTATTTTATTGTATATACACATATTATGCTTTTATTAATAAAAAAATAAATAATAGTATTTTGTATCTAAAGAAATCATGAAAAAACATTGAAATTAATTAAATTATTTTAGTATTTACTTTTAGTATTTCATTGTATGAAGCCAAAATTAAATAAATAAATAAATAAATAAACTGATTTAATTGTAAATTTAAAGATTCTGAAATGTTTAAACTATGCATATTTACTTTTCCCTGTCATAACGAGTTTTTGCTGTTCTGAACCAACTTTGATCATCCATTTCAAACACAGAATCAGAAAGTTGATATTTATTTTGTATAACACCTAATAGTCAATAGAATAGTAATAATTATATTGAAGTATTGCAAAATAAATTTAACTTATTTGATTATTTACCTCTTATTATTGAAATAATCTGTAAATTTTTCACTTTAAATTTTGTCAGATCTTTTTCAAATGCCCTGCCTGTCCAAGAACAATCAATTGCAAGTTTATTGGTTAACATTTTGGACAAAATACGTCGTAAATGTGATCTACCATCATTTCCACCAATTGAGCAATACATAATTTTCTAGTGAATAAGATATATCAATAATTTATAATTATAAAATAAGGTTAAAATTTAGATGATAGAAATTACCAATTTTTCTCTGTCATTACTATTTATTTGCAATAGTTTTTCATACTCTATTACATCTTCTTTTATTGAAAAAGGAAATTTTCTAAAAGTTGTGTATCTTCAAAATCATAAAACATTCCTAATGTTGGTATATTAGTTTTAATTAATTTTTAAAATCATCTTTTAAGCTATTCATCATATTCCAAAGCCTCTGATTCATTAAGCGATTTGCTACAAGTTCTTCATGAATATTTTGTAAAATATTTCGATTTCCTTCTATAATAACGTTTAATATGTTTTTTATGAAATAAATAAATAATTTATAAGTATTTAAATTATATTACCCTGTACCGTGATATAATTGTACAACGTTGTAGTGGTACGCGCAAGAGAACGATTCCATATAGAGGATGCGTTTATTTCGCTCCTTATTTCTTTCTCACCCCTACAACTGTTATGAAATTGTTTTTTTTTTCGTTACATTTTCATGATACATTTTAATATATACAGTGAAACCTCTAAATATCGGACACTTTTGGTCGCCATAATTTTGTCCGTTATTTAGAGGTGTTCGATATTCAGAGGGGGAGGGGTACATTTTTGAAAATAACTCGGAGAAATTAATAATTACACATGTACAACATTTATTATATATATGTATACATAAAATATTTATAATAACGATATTTGTATACATTATAATTTATATATATAAATTATATGTAAAGCGTATATTTATTAGCTATGATATCCGCAATTTGTGTTTTACTAACACTAAACTCGTCTGCGATCGCACGAACAACTATATTTGTATTAGATGCTTGAAATTCAAGAATCTCAATTTTTTCTTTCGTTTACTAGCCATTGCAATACGTTAATGAAACACGTTACGTTACACTATCACGTTCGAATACAGTGGAATCACAATCACAACTAAATACGAGTACGATAACTTCACAGAACTAATCTAAAAAAATGTTTCATCGACGCAATTAATCAATGGACAGATATGATAAACTATAATTGTATAATAATTTATAATATACAGTAGTAAGATTAGATTAAATTGGCATTCAACGATTATTTAGAGGTGTCCGTTAAGGAAGGTTTCACTGTATATATATACTATATACGCATTTATCTATTTTTACAGTTTGTTCGTTTGTTCGCGAACGTTGCCGTCACTGACTTTACTCTCCACGATGACGGCCAAGTGTAAAGCTTTCATCAACCGTCGCTTACTCATGTGCAGCGCAGCATTAATAGATTTGTTTTTGCGTTGGGGGAAATGCGATCATAACATATTATTGTGCTACGCAGTGATATTATACGTCAACTCTATAGGTGTAATACGCATGGAAAAACGTATACCTACATATTTTTTTATTTATTTATTCATTTTTTTTTTCTCCCCGCACGTATTATTATTAGTATACGGTCGTTATCCCGAACGAACGCGCTATAAACAATCCCGAGAAAACTCGCGAGGCCTACGCACGGTTTAGTCATTGAATACAAATGAATTCATAACCCTTGAACATAATAAAAACGCAACCAAGCTGCTTTTGACGCTGGATAATGCAAATGTTTTAGTTTTTCATTTTGAACACACATTAATACGTTTTCTTTAAACCTTTCGTTTTAATTTCATCCACCGTACCTACGGAAACTTATTTTAAATATTCAGTAGAGGTTAATTATTTACATAATAATATAATTGCAAGTGGAACATAAATTGTATGAATAAAAAGAAAGACAAACAAAAAAAAAAACAACGGCAAATCGAGAAAATGTTCGTTCGTAAATGGTTAATGGTTTTCATGACTTATTCGTAATTTATTTTCATAATAAGAATTATTATGAAAATTAAAAACTAAATATTAAACAAAGTCATTATATATTTTATTTAGATGTTACACAAAACGAGTAGGAACATAACTTATGTCAGATACGTGCAGTGCTGAATAATTTGCCGATTATATAATATGAATAACAAATTGTATTATAATTATTCGCTAATTGTTTATGCCCATCATAATATATTCAAGAATTTGTGTTAAGATTTTTATTTTAAAAATAAGGTTTTGTAATTAAAGATTTTTTCTATATAATTCTGATGAACTTTATCTACTCGTATACTGAAATTTAATAATTTTAGGAATATTTTCCGATTTATATTTACTTAATTTCTTTATGTATGCAATTGAATTGTATTTTAAAAATTATAAAAATTGTCAATTGAAAAAGATTGATCCAAACTATAAAATAGGTACCAATAAAATATCTGATAATACATAATTATTTGTTCAACAAATTATTACAAAAAAAATTAATAAACGATAATCTGAATATAAATGATTAGGAGTTAAATTTTGAGAGTATTGGATGAGATGAGAAAGATTGAAATTATTTAGATTACAAGAAATAAATTACCAATTAATGTTTTCAAGTCGACAAACCCCTGTTATTAAATATTTTCAAACGTTTTAGCTTGTCGTCATCGTCTTTGTAAAATATGAAAATACACAAATAAGTGTTTCCTACCAAACTTATGAAAAAGTAAAATGTTTGGGGAAATACATTCTTAAAAGTTGTGTATAGTGTGTCATATTTATGGTATGAAAAAAATTACACTTTTAAACCTTTGGACGTTTTAAGTATTAAACGGTCGGAACGTTTATCGTCGAACTTTCCATTAGTTTAGCCCGGAAATCCTCTCTTCGCATCAGTACCAAAAGTTTTCATATTTTTTGAAATTCTTGAGATGCCTTAAAAAAAGAGAAAAAGATTATACCGGGTAAACTTGGAAAAGAACGACTAAACGTTGAGTTAAAAACAAAATGCGGTTTTTAATGGACACAGTAGCTCAAACAGTTTTTGTCACAAGCTGGTCGTAGCTAGATAACCCAGAAATAACGACAGGAAAAATATATTCGGAAACGACTTAGTTCGAGAACTTAGATTTTTCTAAATAACTAGACTTTTTATGGATAAAGTTTTGTCGACCGAACGTAAGACTATAATTTTAATAACCGTGTAAAAACTATTTATCACTTATAAAATTTAACAGATATGAGAACATTGATAAAAAACTATAGCGGGAATTAATATCAGATATAAATACATTGTTCAGCTACAGTATCCACGATTTCTAACCAGGAAAGTAATTGAAAAAGCTGTTAAAAATTATAATTTATATTTAGATAATTAATAGACATGGGAAATTAATATTTCTATAAAACATTTGAAATTAATCTAATTTCAATAACTTGGAAAAATAGTTTGATGAATAAAATCGATTTCACACTGCCAATGAAGTGAAGAATAAGTACATACAATAGTATGTATTTGAAGTATATGTGACAATGTAATCAATTCGATGCTATCGAAACGTATTAATCGTTCGAATGGTCTCCAAAAATACCTCCAAAAAACAATGAAAATTTTATGAAAATCTGTTGTAATTACGTTGCATTTATATTATTTTCCGATCAAACGAACAGTGTTTGTTGCATGATTCAAGATCCGGCGTTCGAAATCATATTAAAATACTATCCAAACTTTTTCGACGCCTGCTTGACATGTTTACATATTTTTCGTTTTCACGATCCATTGTAGCTTTAACCACATGTCCAATATTAGACGCAGTGGCGTATTTACAGGGGGGGGGGTCCAGGGGTACTGGACCCCACCCAGAACCTCTCCAAAAAATAAAAAATAAACTAAAATTCTTACATATTTGCAGAATTGGCTATGTTAAACATTCACAGGGAAGTTGAAATTACTGTTGATGAAGTGATAGAGGAATTGGCCAAAAAATTGAGACGACTGGAATTTATTTTATAACAATACTTTATAATATATAATGCTAAATAGATTATATAGGTATATATATAATATTACATAAGACTATTTGATTATTACATTATATATTTAGTTCAACTTTCTCCAAAAACTGCATAAGGACGTAACTATTACAATATAATATATAGTTTATATTAATCATGTATACAATGTGGATCCCCCCCCACAGAAAAAATTGAAAATACGTATTCATCTCTGTGGTTTCGCACATGATTGATGACAGCAAGCCATATAGACTCCGGAATCATAGGTGCCCATTCTCCTAGTCACAACTGTTGCACGTTAGTGTTTAAACGCCGAAAAAAACCGTTTTGTTTGCGTACAGGCGTGCCACAATCAGTGATTCTGGACGCGCGAATTAAACTTTTTATTTTAGGGCCACGCAACACTGGAACGGGTTTTGACGCGCGGTGAAAACGCGTGAAGACGGTAGATAAAAACGCGAACATGCAGTGGAATGTGACAGGCTAGGGCGGTTTTGACCGCGTGCATGCTATGGTTTCGAGTACAATACGTGTACGATTTTACGTAGCGTTTTCGACGCGCGTCAAAACGGCTGTACCGTAGCGCGTACGGGTACGGTCGAAGAACGAACGCGCTCAATAGGTGTCGATTTGGACATGAATAAATGGCTGTTCATTTAGATCTCGGACGGCGAACGACGATAATCCCTTTGGGTTGCGTAACGCGAAATCGGCCAGCGCGTATACATAATAATAACAATACGTCGTGTCGCAATGGCGCACTGGTACGTGCCGGAAATATCGAATCCTATAGGAGCCGGGCAGGATCGTAACAGTAGTATGAAAGGCAGTTGATTAAAGATCGACAAGGTTTGTCAAAGGGAATGCACGTTTCGTGATAACAGCGCGGTGGTGGAGGTACACGCGTTCGCCCCCCTCCCCACGAACGGCGTTGTAAGTGCTCGATGTGTTTTATCGTCTCGCGTCGAACGCAGTCCGAACTGGTGGCCGCGCGTGGACCTCTCTCGTGGGACGGCGTATAATTCAAACGACCGCAGAGGGTTGGCTACGGGTTTTCCATAAGTCACACGGGGGCTGACTCGGTGAAGTCTCTCGATTTCCGAAGGAGAAAAAAGTGCGTTCGATTTCTCGTGATCGCACGGGCCCATTGTCGTTACGGCCGAGAACCGCCGGATGTTGGCAAACGTAAAACACTGACCCGAATGGGGTCGTCCTCCCCCAACACTCTTGGAACGAGGGGAAACGCGCACAACTAGACGAAGGCACAGCGAGTTCTACGACGACATGGTGTTCTGTTTTAAATTATTTGTATTCGGCGACTTTATTGCGCGCGCACGTACGGATACCGCAAGCGTATAGTTTATGGTTCTCTTTGTCCGGGACGCGTAAATCTTTCGATCTAATGCTCTCCAATAGAATAATTTAAATACGAGAGAAGACTGAGAAAAAACCGGAGAGAAAAAAAGAGATGAATGGTATTTTTTATTTATTCTGTTTTTTTTTTCTTTCTTTTTTTTCTGTTGTTACTCGTCCTGTAGATTTATCGTCACCAACGCAAATATGAATAAAGAAATTGTTTACGAACAGATCAGGTAGGCAGGAAATTAATACATAAATCAGAAACATAATATTTTCGTTTTTGCGCGCTTACATGGTTGTACAGGTTGCGATACTGCGCTATGGATGATGTACAAGTTCCGTCACATTTCTCTTGCTCTTTACCCCAAAAGAGTCAATACTCTGGGCTGTAATAAACGTGTCATCAATACACTGCAGTATTGCGCGTGTTTTGCATTTTGACGTAAGCGTAATATTTATATTTATTTTCGAAATAGTATACGTATAAGCGGTTCGTACAAACGTTACTGCTTTCGCGGACGGTGCTCGTACGACATTGCTAAAGACCCGTGCGTCATTTCATTTACAATCGCGATCGTTTTACGTAATAGAATATACAGCGTTTATGTTATCAACTGATTTACTTCTCCAAGTTGTTAAGTTTTTAAAAATTGAAATAACTGCATAGTATTTTATATAAACGCAGTCATTATGTGTTCTGACGTTTGCTCAAGCTTTAAACTTAATCGATTAGCGTTCAATTCGCAATACCCATCGAAAAGTGGTTTTATCACTTGACCATTCTCAAACACCATTTATCAATTTTATGACACCTTACACTACTACGTGCAAGAACGTATATGAAATAATTTTTCTTTTTGCCATTTTTTATTTTTTATTTTAATCACTAAAACAACGGTTCATCCGATAAAATATTACGAAAGATCTGTTGCGACTATTTTAGTGAACCTAATGGGCAATTAAATATTTAAGTCTTACAAATTTTTATCCCATACACTCAATGTAAATTCATTCACGGAATTTTGGTCGACTTGTAGTA